ATCACAAGCACTCTCTAGTAACTGCAAGCTGCAACTATTAGCCTGAAACTGTTGAACAATAAGGCATTAATTCATAAAACAATTCACTTAAAGGGACTCACAGCTGTAAAGGTCCAGTACCAGTGAAAAATAAAGGAAAAAGAAGCTAAAGGGAGAAAACTAAAAGGGTGTACAAGTAAAACTAGTAAAAGAAATTAAATGAATTCTAAATTTAAAAGAAAACAAAGACCTTCAACAAAAATGGAAGGCAAACACTGAAATATGGACTGGACAGCTAAGGATATCTTTACTAAGTTACAACATTTTATGGAATGTACACATTTTTTATTCTACAGATCGAGTGATGAATGATCCTGAGAAGAGAGCTCTGAAAATCTTACTTAACATCAACGAGTATCTTCGCAGGATTAATACATCTGGTTGAGAATTACAAAGATCCAAACAAAAAATCTACAAAGCACTTAAAGGCCAGATGAAGGCAATAATTAATTTCAGGATTTGCAGATTTTGATTCAAGTTTACAGACAGCATGCCCAAAAATTGCTTGATTGCAGCAAAGAATATGTGTGTGATTTTTCTGAAGAGAGAACTCTCAGAGAAGTTTCTCGAATTTGGAATCACCTCGACTCCAATTAAAGTCTTCAGGAAGGATCTTCTGGGTCACAGAATGGATCATAACATTGATGCCTCATTTGAGGATGGGTGTGAGTATGGAGCCGTGATAGCAGGCCAACAATTGCACGCTTTAAATGTAACTAATAACATCATTATAATCAGTAAAACATACCAAACAAACAAAATCTGTAACAGATGCGGTTTGTCATATCGACCCAAAAGCTGCCCAGTTTCTCTTCCCATCTGCAAAGCATGTAGCAACAAAAGATATTGGACATGCCTGTGCAGGAAGACTGTTTCTGACGGCCAAGTCATATCCCAGAACAAGACACACTAGACCAATAAGAACACAACAATGAAAGTGAAGACATTGTTAAGAATGTACACAAACCCAAACACATCTGTGAGGCTCAGAGTCAACTAAGAGAACAACAAATTTCATAAAATGACCAAGCTTTCTTTATTAATGCCTTCATACACTATCTTTAAAAAGTTGCTCATGTTACTGGAAATCAGATGCTTTTACAATCATTAATATCAAATGTCATGAAAAGGCAGGATGACACACCTAAAAAAGCAAAATCAAAACAGAAGGTATTGCCAATATATTATCATTATGCATTCTGAAAGACATATACTTCAGCAAGTGATGCTCCATGCTATTACTCAGTACTGCTCTGTAAGTGTGATTTTCCTGAGTTCCTCCCTCGCTTCCTGTTCCTCATTTATCATTGATTCTAGGGTGTTACTTGTATCCTCAATAGTGAAACCATTGCAAAGTACCCGTTCAATTCACCTGCCATTTCCTTATTTGCCATTATTAATTCTCCAGCTTTACTTTTTCATAAAACTATTGCTCACCTTGTTAGTGTTTTCTTTTTTTTAAAATATTGATAGAAACTCTTACTATCTGCTTTTATATTTCTCGCTAGCTTTCTCTCATACTCTAATTTTTCTCTCATTAATTTTTTAGTCATACTCTGCTTTTTTAAAATGTTATGTCCAATCTTCTGTACTGCCTATTTTTGCAAAATGATATGCTTTTTCCTTTAGTTTGATGGTATCGTTGACATTTCTATTTAACCATATACTATGGGTCCTTTTCTTGGTATAGTCGCAATTCATGTTATTCAAACCACATTCACTCCTGTGGAGCAGACCACATCTTATGAAACTGAACCAGTTAAAGTTGAATACATTCTCAAGGTTGATCTGTTACACTTTGGCCCGAGCCTGTGTGAACAGTTGCAATCAGCAACTGCCAAAGATATGCAACTGCAAGATTTGCAAAAGGCCATTATCCAGGAATGGTCTGACAGTGTTAGGGAAGTACCTGAGAAAATTTACTCATTTTGGACATACAGAAATAAACTTGGTATAACACGATAAGTCATTTACTTGAGCAGGCAATTTCTAGTTCAGAAAGCACTATGTAAAAATATCATGCCTAAGTTACGCCATGACATGGGTAGTGAACACGGAAGGTGGCTAGAAAATAAATCTGTACACTGGCCAGGGCTGAATCAGGATATTTAATGACTTATAAATGCACATGAGGCATGCCAAAAGTATCAATGCCAGCAGCAGAGGACATCCCAACATGATCTTCATACACCCTTGGAAAAAGTAGCAACAGATTTATTCACAGTGTACAGAGAAGATTTCAACCTCATGGTCGGTTACTTCTCCAAATGTCCATTATCTGATGAAATGGTAACACAAAGAGTTGAATCATTGCTGACATGATGACAGCTATTTTTGGTTTAGATAGTGTCCAATGATTGACTGTAATTTACTAGCAATTTATTTAAAGACGAAGTAGACAGTGACTAATACCACATCATCATCCCAGTATCCATAACCATCACATTTCAAGCAACAGAATAAGACTTTTCATTGTATTACTGCATTTTTGAGTAATGGATAAGTGATTACCCATCCCTTACACAACTTATGCCCAGGAGGACAAGCGTGAATGAACTTGCGCAGTGAAGTCTAGCCATTCTGAGACACAGAATATTTTTCTTCAAAGGTGTAGGAGAATGAGAGAGATACACATGATTATGTACCTACAGAACTGCCAAAACTGAGCACTGGACAGAGAGTACAAGTTAGAAGTACAACTACAAATACAGAATTAATAGCGGGATCCAAAATTTGCAAACAGTCGAGATTGTACAAATTAATAACTGATCGTGGTGCAACATTGTGAAAGAATCCAGGTCAGAATGATGTGCACCAATCATGCATGAAGACAGTAAGGAAGAAAATTCCAATGATGATTGCATAGTGACATTAAGTGATAGCAACCAGCAGCAAAGCAACCAAGTTGTCAGCCAGGAGTAACTGAGAAAAACACATAATTCTCCATATAAGTATACAATCCCTGATCAGGATGAATTGTAAAATCTCAAAAAGCTACATTGAAGTTTGAAATGTTAATCTTTAAAGTCTGCTTTACCTACTTGTATTATTATTGAATTCACAACATATGCTTATGTACACCTATGCGTATCTTTTTGTTCAGTTTATATCTTTGAAAAAAGGCACACGTCACATCTTGTTAGGATATTGAGGACAGAATGGACTGAATCTTACAATGTTTTGGCTGTGTCTAAGTTATGTTGAGTTTACAGGAGGGTTTCCCACTGTGAGGCCAAGTGAGTTTCTTTTCAAGTATCTCACCAATTATGCTGCATTAATTATCTACTGTGCCCCTATGTCCTCTTTCACTTCCAATTTGTGGGAGCATGACTGAGAGATCCCACAAAGATCCCATGTCACTCCCTGGAAAGGAGCTATTGGCATAAAGTTTTCATGTGGCAATGACTTTCGCAGCCACCAGGGGAGGATAGGTCCTACTCCTACTGTCCTTAGGTCCTGTTCCAGCATCTGGCAATTCAGTCACAGTGGCCCGGGATATAAGAGTCTGCATTGGCACTGAGCCTTACTCATCCCCAAGACATGGAGTTGGGGCTGAGAAACTAAGTTTTCTGTGCAACTCATGCATCTTGAGGGGCCCTGGGGCAGTGGCTTGGCCCTGGGATGGGTGTTCCTCATCAACTCCAGCGTCCTGCTGCAGCTTCTGGGTTTACCATCAGTCCTGGTTCTCCTGTATCCAGCTTTGCCCCTAAGCACCCTCACCCTGCATGCGTAGCAAATGGGCAATGAAATGGTGGCAAATTAAAAGTAGCTCGGCTTTGCAAATGGCTACTTCATATATTTTTTGCTACAACGCCCTAAGACCAGCAAATGTAGATCCTGCACTTTTTTTTTAAGATCTTAAGATGACATCCAAGGTGCATGGGGACATACAGAGCACAGCTCCAACTGTTTGATCAGTTACACTTTCGTGGTGATTGCAATTTGCTTGAGTTCTTCCATCATTTCCATTTCATGATTCAGAGCTACTTCTGGGATGTTATTTTTATCTTTTCAAGTGAAGACTGATGCAAAATAGCTATTCAATTCATCTGCCTTCACCTTATTTTGCATTAGTAATTCTCCAGACCCATTTTATTATAGAATCAATATTCACGATGTTAACTCTTTTTTTAAAAAAATCAGTAGAATCTTTTAATATTTCTGGCTTAAATGGGCAACCTCTTATTTGAAACAATGACCCTGCGTTCTAGCTGCTCCCACAAGACAAGACATTCTCAATTCCTATGGCAAGTCACTTTCACTAAAAGACTGTGTGTAACAATCCAGACAAGAGGAGACGTGGAATCACATATAAATCAGTGTGGATACTCAATTTCATCCCCTAAATATTATTGCTGAGCCAGACAGAATTTTATAACAGTCAGGTAGTTTCACCAATACTCATACCATCTTTATATTGTAGATGTATTTAATTAACTGAATTTAAATCCTGCCACTAATGTCAGGGGATTTGAACTCATGTCTCCAGACCATTACAACAGGCTTCTGATTATGAACCCAGTAAATGGCCTCCATATTACCATAGTAAGTGACACTTCAAGGATATATAAATGAAAAATTCTCCAACCACAAGGGAACAAGGCCACATTTTGAAATTTTTCACACTCTTTCACTGTTTAACAGCTAAAAGTTCTGTCATAGATAATTTTTCACTCCTTACTTCAGAATATGGTAGAGATGCTCTTGCAGTCTTTCTGACATTTACGTAGTACAGGATGTGGCCAGTACTGTTAACAGATATAACTCGAGGAGTCTCAACAAGTACATTCAAATTCCTACAATATATTGTAGGTATAGCTTCAGATTTAATTTAATGACATTTATTCTCTCAAATTGTACAGACTAGAAAATTACTGCAAGTTCAAGTGAAAAGTAAAGCATTATTAACTAAGTCAAATGTTGCGAAAGTAATTGTATAGCCTTTTATATTTTCAGCAACTATGAGTAATTTGAGCAACCTAACAAGCCTGCAATTCGTGAAGACATTTCAGTATGTGGTTCATATACCAACGTTCATCCTGGGTTTGACTATTAATTTGGTTGCACTCTGGATACTCTGCACCAAATCAAAGAAGTTGATCGAATCTACAATCTACATGATTAATCTGAGTTTTTCTGACATATTTCTGCTTTTCTCTCTGCCTTTCAAAATCCATGCTGAGCAGATGAATGGAGATGAATGGCACCTGGGAGCAATGTTCTGTAAGTTTCTGGAATCCCTGTACTTTGTGAACACCTACGGGACGATCCTGTTAATAACGCTGATATCACTGGATCGCTACATCGCTATCAAACATCCCTTTCTGGCACAAATGCTCAGGTCACCAAAGAAAGCCGTCATCGCCTGCACTGTGATGTGGGTTTGTATCTGGTCAGCAAGCATTCCAAATTACATCCATCCTGAAAACAATCAGACAATGAAAAAGTGTTTTGCAAAATTTGATGCATTTTGGGAAAACGATGCCATTCCTGTGAGTATGGAAGTTATCTTTTTAATTTCTGCAGTTACTGTGTCTTTCTGTAGTATTCAGATCATCAGAACATTACGAAGAGTACATGAAGAAAGAGATGATATGAACATGAGGACATCTATGAATATTATCACTACAAATCTGGTCACCTTCCTTTTCTGCTTTACACCTTATCACATAGCCATGCTATTGTACTTCTTAGCAAAGAAGGGCTATATAACTGAATGCTTGGCACCTCTGCGAATCAGTCTTCAGATCACTCAACATTTTGCAACCATACATTGCTGCCTGGATGGAATGTACTACTATGTAATCATTAAGAGTTTCTGGAAATCAGGGATCAAGATCATTGTGGATACTAATTCAACTCATACAAGTTGATTTCTTGACTTCATTTTCCTCTTCTTACCTTAGTTACATGAATTTAAAATCATCATTTGCCTCTTTGGTTACAGCCCTTGCATGAAAATTAATGGATAATAAAAGAAACCTTTTGGAATAATTCATTCAATGTATATTGATACCTTTGTGCAGATATTGCTGATGTTGGATTGGAAAAAAGTGAACTGCTGAAACAAATGGGATTTGTTTTCATTGAACTTTGTTCCAAAAAGATGATAACAGGAAGTCTTAGGCCCAGATTATTAGCAGCATTGGTTGTCTTCCAATGATTCACACACATTGGATGTGTAGTTGTGTGATATGTAAAATTAATTGAAAAATCAGTTTAACTGGTTGCTTTCAATACAATAATCTGAATTGCATTTGTAAGTGAATCAGAGAAATGAATGTGTAGGTTTGGTTAGTCAATGCAGTTGAAATTGTGATTACTGTAAAGTATAAGATATATAAGCAGTCATCGAAAGAGCTGTTAGATCCTGCAAAGGATAAGTTTAAATAGCAGCTGTTCATATAAAGTAGCTCAGTAGGCTGGAGAGCTGCTCTATAATGCAGAGTAATAGCAACAGTATGGCTTCAATTCATGCACCAGCTGAGGTTACCACAAAGGTTCTGCTTTTTTAACCTCACCCCTCACCTGAAGCATGATGACCCTCAAGTTAAGCTTGCACCAGTCATCTCTTCCTCCAGTGAGATAGCAGCCCTGTTGTCTTTATTTTTCCCTCCTCATGTACTTTAAAACCTGTTAGCTAGCTAACATTTTTTCTTTTTTTTTTATTTTCCCTGTCCACAGAATCTGCCTGACATGCAGTTTATTTTCAACATTTTCTGATCATGCCTCAGATTACCAAACTTTGTACAATTTTGCTTTTGTTTTATGCCATTGTACTTGTGTTAACTGAGTAAATATTGAAATACAATGATATTTATCAACAAGATGAATGTTGTAGTTTCAGTTTTGTTAAACTTTATCAGTGCAGTACAATGACACTACTTTGATATAGTTGATATGGTCAAATAAAATTGTCCTAGTCACCCTTGATGACCTTTAGTCTTTGTTACCTCTTGCATTTGAGATGCACTTTGGCCAGTGTTGTGGCTTCATGTTAATAGCGATAGAAGTGTTGCAATGAATATGTTTTAATAATAACTTGCATGTATAAACATGACTATTTCAGTAAAATACTTCAAAGCGCTTCAAAAGAGCAAATTAAGTTTTGTAGGGTAATTCAGAACCAGCTTATTTAAACATCATATATTAAAACACACCATAACATGATTTATGGTTATTTTTTTCTATCTATCAATGCAAGATGAAAGACTCTTTAAGAATGGGGATGAAGAATAAAAGAATATAAGAAATAGGAGCAGGATTCTTGAGCCTGCTCTGCCATTCAATAAGATCATGGCAGAACATTTGCATCAATTCCATTTTATTGCCCAATCCACTTGTTCCTTAATGCCTTTCATTCCCTAACGACTGTCAATCTCGGTATTAAATTAAACATCCATAGATCTCTGGGCTAGAGAATTTCTTCAGTGAAGCCATTTCCCCTTACCTCAATTATAAATTTCTTCCCTCTTTTCATTAGTCTAGTTCTAGAGTCTCTAGGAAAAGGAAGTGGTTTCTCAGCATCTACTCTGTAGGGTTGTTTTAGAATTCCTGCAGTGTAGAAGCAGGCCATTCAGCCCATCAAGTCTACACCAACCCTTTGTAGAGCATCCCACCCAATCCCTGAAATCCATCTAATACACACATCCCTGGAGGCAATTTAGCATGGCCAATCCTCCTAATATGCACATCTTTGAATTGTGGGAGAAACTGGAGCATGCCATGCAGACATAGGGAGAATGTGCAAACCCCACAGGTGCAGTTACCTGAGGCTGGGATCAAACCCAGGTCCCTTGTGCTATGAGGCAGCTGTGCTAACCACTGTGCCACCCCTTGTCACTGTAAAGCATTGTGATTAAAGAGCATTACTTTCAATTATAGCATGGCTGATGATTCCTTTTCTCCTATTGTCATTCCAATGATTACATATCACTTTCTTTTAAGCTCCAGAGAACATTAGTCCACTCTACCCAATCTCTTCTCATAGGGAAGCCTTCTCCTTCCAGGAGTCAGAGTAGTGAACTATATTTGATCCAAGGCAAATATATCCTTCCTTACATCGTCCAGTTGTAGGAAGGATATTATCAAGCTGGAGAAAGTTCAGAGGAGATTTACCAGGTTGTTGCAGGGTGCGGAATGTTTGACTTTAGAGGAAAGCCTCGATAGGCTGGGACTATTTTCACTGGAGTGTAGGAGATTGAGAGGTGATCTGATAGAAGGTTATAAAATAATGAGAGGTATAGATAAAGTTGGTGGCGGTTGTGTTTTCCCTAAAATGGGGAATTTCAAGAATAGCAGGTACATTTTTAAGGTGAGAGGAGAGAGATTTAAAAAAGACATGAGGCATTTTTTTTACACAGATGATAGTTCACATGTGGAATGAACTTCCTGAGGAACTGGTGGATGTGGGTGCAATTGCAATGTTTAAAAGACACTTGGATGGATATACGAATAGGAAAGGTTTGGGGGGATATGGGCCAGGAGCAGGCAGGTGGAGCTAGTTCGGCTGGGATTACATTCGGCATGGACTGGTTGGACTGAAGGGTCTGTTTCTGTGCTGTATGACTCTATGACTCGATAAGGTGATGAAAACTGTACAGTGTGCTCTGTATGTGGTTTCACCAAAGCACTTTATAATTGCAGTAAGATTTCACACTCTTAAACTGCAAACCTCTTTGTGATAAAGGATAATGTAATAGTGACCTTCCTTACTGTCTGCTGTATCTGCATATTAAGTCTCTGCGATCTAAATACAAAAACAGCTAAATCACTTTAAAATCCAACATTCATTGGATTTCTACCTTCTTAAAAATTATTCTGCTTTTCTATTCTTCCTACTAAAGTGTTAATTTCATACTTCCCCACATTATATTTTAACTACTATTTCTACTCAGTCATATACTTGGGCATGGTGGCTCAGTGGTTAGTACAGCTAACTCACAGTGCCAGGGGCTGGGGTTCAATTCCAGACTTGGATAACTGTCTGTGTGGAGTTTGCATATTCCCTCCACGTCTGCACAGGTTTTTATCTGGGTGCTCCAGTTTCCTCCCACAGTCCAAACATGCACAGGTTAGATGGATTGCCCATAGTGCCCAGAGATGTGAAAGTTAGAAAGATTAGCTATGGGAAATGCAAGGTAAAGGGTAGGGGTGTAGGTGGAGTGCTCTTCAAAGGGTCAGTATGGACTTGATGGGCTGAATAGCCTATGTCTACACTGTAGGGATTCTATGAAATCCTTTCACAGTCCCTTTGTACAATTGTACAGTTATACAACATGGAAACAGACCCTTCTGTTAAACTCACCTGCGCCAATCAAATATTTTAAATTGATTCAGTCCCATTTGGCCAATATCCCTGTAACTCCTTCCTATTCATATACCCATCCAGTTGCTTTTTAAATGTTGTAATTGTACCTGCTTCCACCACCTCCTCTGGCAGCTCCTTCCATATACCCACCACCCTCTGCATGAAAAAGTTGCCCCCCAGGTCCCTGTTAAATCTTTCCCCTCTCACATTAAACCTATACCCTCTAGTTTTGAACTCCCCTGCCCTGGGAAAAAGACCTTGTCTATTCACCCTATCCATTCCCCTTATGATATTATAAACCTCTCTAATGTTGCCGCTCAACCTCTGACGCTCCAAGGAGAAAAAGCCCCAGTCTATTCAGACTCTCCCTATATCTGTCCTCTTCACAGCATGATTTCCTATCTCGTTTTGTGCTGTCATCAAATATGAACACTTTTCTTTCATACCATTTACTAAGTAATTGATAAATTTTAAATAGCTGAGACACAAGCACATATCATTGCTGTACTTCACCTGTTACATTCTGCTCTCCTGAAAAGCACTTTACCATCAGCCTAAAGATGAAATCGAGAAATAATCGATTAGGTCACTGACAGCAAGTCACATAACACCAAAAATAAGCTCTTTAGACCTACAAATGTTTTAGACTTGTAAAAACAAAAGTTACTGCAGAAATCTGTGAAGTTTGTTATTTTATGTAAATATGTTGGCAAGGTCTTTCTGCACATACCATAGATAGAAGTTTTCATTACACTGTCCCCTTGCTGTATCTGTAATTTCCTTAGTGGTGTCTCTGTATGCTGGAAAAAAACATCTATCCAGAACTATCTTTCTGACACTTTCTAAGCTTGTGACATTCACCACCAGGGGGTGCAGATGTGTAGAGACACCATTTACAGAATTTATCTCCAAGTTGCGCAGAGCAACCTGATTTGGAAATGAGAGATAGTAGGAACTGCAGATGCTGGAGAATCCGAGACAACAAGGTGCAGCGCTGGATGAACACAGCAGGCCAAGCAGCATCATAGGAGCAGAAAGGCTGACGTTTCGGGCCTAGACCCTTTATCAGAAAAGGGGGAGGGGAAGGGGATTCTGAAATAAATAGGGAGAGAGTGGGAGGCGGATAGAAGATGGATAGAGGAGAAGATAGGTGGAGAGGAAACAAACAGGTCGAAGAGGCGGGGATGGGGCCAGTAAAGGTGAGTGTAGGTGGGGAGTTAGAGAGGGGATAGGTCAGTCCAGGGAGGACGGACAGGTCAAGGGGGCGGGATGAGGTTAGTCGGTAGGAGATAGAGGTGCAGCTTGAGGTGGGAGGAGGGGATAGGTGGGAGGAAGAACAGGTTAGGGAGGCAGGGACGAGCTGGACTGGTTTTGGGATGCGGTAGGGGGAGGGGAGATTTTGAAGCTTGTGAAATCCACATTGATACCATTGGGCTGCAGGGTTCCCAAGCGGAATATGAGTTGCTGTTCCTGCAACCTTCGGGTGTACCCGGTGTGGCTTCCTCTACATCGGGGAAACCAAGCAGAGGCTCAGGGACCGCTTTGCAGAACACCTACGCTCGG